AAAATAAGTCCTCCTAATCCCACCACCCAGAATAAACACTATTACCATATTGGCATATTTGCCTCCAGTGTTTTTCTCTGCATATAATTTTCACATAGCTGAGGATTAGCGTGTATATATATTTATACACAAATACATAGACATACATATGGGCTCAGTTATGTATAAACGTATGTTGAGTATTTTTTTTAGCTTTTATTAAAAATTAAAAAAGAATTTTAATTCCAGTATCATTAACATACAGCATTATATTAGTTCCAGGTGTATAATATAGTGATTCAACAATTCTATACCTGACTCAGTGCACATCATAATTGTACTTCTTAATCCCTTTCACCTATTTTCTCCATCCCTCCACTTCCCCCACTGCCCCTCTGGTAACCATCTGCTGTTCTCTATAGTTAAGGGTTTGGTTTTTGGTTTCTCTCCATTTTCTTCCCCCTTCTTTTCCATGTGTTGAGTATTTTTGTGCACAAAGTCTTGGTGTGGGAGTTAGTGTGGGCGTTGGGAGCCGGGTGCCAGGGTCGGACCATGCTGAGCTAGAACCCCTTACTAGCTGCATGACTTGGGGCAAATGCCTTCTCTGAGTAACAATTTCTTTCTCGATCTGTAAAATGGGGTTTATGATGGGACTTATCCCAGGGCTGCTGTGAGGATGCGATGGCGTGGTGGCGAATGTAAAATGCGCAGTACAGTGCCTGGAGCAGAGAGGTTTCTTCCTGGTAACATATGACCACGGAAAGCTTGGTCTCCCTTTCTGATCCACAGCAGAAATCTCTAGAAGTGGGATGGATTTCTGGGTCCAAGGCTATGAAGAGCCCCAGGGTTGCTATCGTTTGTCCAAATGGAGAGGCAAATTTCCACCAAGATCTCATGCCTCCTGCGCCACAGCTGTCCTCATTTGTCTCTGTATTCTTCCAGCCCTGTTTACACAGAAAGGTTTTTCAGCATTCTAATTGTGATGCTTGCACCGGTTTGCTTAGTGTTACATCATCAACATTTCCCTAAGCGGCTAAAGCTGTCATTGACAGCATTTGCCATGGTTTGTTTAACGATTTCCTTATTGTTGAATGTCTGAGTTTACTTTTTCATTCATTCATTCACTCACTCACTCATTCTTTCATTCATTCATTCAAGAAATAGCTCTGCCAGGCACTGAACTAGGCATTGGGATATAGAGGTCAACAAGGACAGTGTGCACCTTACACTCTGGCACGTGGACTCTGGCCAGCATGAAAGACCACTTCACATAAACAAACAAGCAACCCCCCACTGCACTGTGAGTGCTGTGAAGAAAAGGGAGAGAACTATGGGGCGGGGGGGGAATCTATTTTTTAACACATTTTTATATTTTCTAGAAGTCGTCCTAGTCCCTAATTCTAACCTGCTGTTTGCGCCAGCAGCTGTAACTGAAGCTTGTCTTTGAGGAGTCCCATTGGGGGTTGGGTTTTCCACTAGCACAGCTTATGGAGGGCTCAGAGCTCACCAAGGTGGTCAAAGGCCTGACAATGAGCTCAAATGGGCCTTGTTGCCTGTTCTCCCTTCCTCTAAGGCTTGTGTTTCAACCAGTGTAGTCTGCTCCCTGACCCCCAAGGAGACTTACGATTATCCCCTTCTTAAATCTACTTGCGTCTTCCTCACCGCTCTCTCAGCACAGGATCTCCACTAGTCCTGGGGGCGCCTTTGAACCAGTTGGTGCCCCCTTCTGGTGGACAAAGCCTGAAGGGCTGAGGCTTGGTGGGCAGAGCACACATCGGATTCTAGCCCTTTTGAGGCCCCCTGGGTCACGTGCATGACTGAACATGGCGGCCCTGCCTGCAGCCTCTGAAATAACCACCTGCCTACTTTCTTTTTATCTTTTTAAAAATTTTTTTTCAAAAAGCTTATTTATTTAGAGAGAGAGAGAGAGAGAGAGAGAGACAGAGAGAGTATGTGCTCACATGAGCAGGGGAAGGAGCAGAGAGAGAGGGAGGGAGAGAGAACTCCAAGCAGGCTCCGCACTGTGGAGAACCTGACATGAGGCTCAAACTCATGAACCATGAGATCGTGACCTGAGCCAACATCGAGTTGGATGCTTAACTGACTAAGTGTGGGGCTCCAGCCCATGAACAGGGAGATCACAACCGGAGCTGAAATCAAGACTTGGATGCTTAACTGACTGACCCACCCAGTCACCCCACCTCACCCGCTTTCTATCTACCTCATTCTTACTCCATCTTGAAGACTCAAAGTTTATATTCCATTTCTTATAGGAAGCCTTATCTAGCTTTCTAATTCACAGTAACTTCTCCATTCCTTAAACTCGTGAACAATTTTTTCACTCCTTGACTTCTTTGGCACTTAGTTATATACTGCCTTCTGATTCTTCTTGTTTTTCTGTCCTGTATTGTTATTTCACCTGAAAAGATCTGATTTAGATTGAGAAGTCAGAGGTATTTCTATAGATGCATCTTTTACATTAAATCCTGAAGGAGAGATAGGCAGAGTTCTAGAGAAAGAGTGTTCTAGGCAGAAGGAAGGTCATGTGCAAAGTCCCTGAGGCAGAAGATTTTTGAGATGCAAAGCCAAGTGTGTATGAATATCTCTGCATGGAATGGCCTTTCCAGGTTTGGCAAATGAAGTGGAAAAGAACTATTAAATTATGCATTCAGGGGCACCTGGGTGGCTCAGTCAGTTAAGTATCTGACACTTGATTTAGGCTCAGGTTATGATCTCATGGAGCCTGCTTGGGATTCTCCCTCCTTCTCTCTCCGTTCCACACCCCTCCCATCTCAAAAGTAAATAAAATAAAAAAATATTCCTTCACACTACTTTCTGAGGACTTCTTTGTTCTAGCCCCTGCAAATGGCATACAGAGATGAATCAGACAAGACATGTTCCTTCCCGGACTAATGGAGGAGGCTAAGATGTTTTCTATACAGTGTGATAGACAGATGATGGTAGAGGGTTATCATGTACTTCAGTAGAAGGGTAGAGAGAGTAACTATTTCTTGTTACTCTCTGAGGAAAGGGTATCCAAGATGGAGACATGTGATTAGGGTCCGATGAAGGGTGACCCATGAGGAGGCTGATGCAATGGTCCAGGCTAAAGCCCTGAACTGGGACAATGATAATAAGGACGGATAAGAGAGGAAAGATGAGAGAGACATTTCAGTGTAAGACCTGTAAGACTTGGAGATGGAATGGTTCTAGGAGGCCAGGGAGAGGAAGAAGTTAAGTCTCTTCAACTTTCAAGCATGGATGACTGTATAAAAGGCAGTACCCCTGGATGAGACCGGGAATGCCAGGAGGAGAAACAGGATTTGGTAAGGGGAGTAGGTTGGTGGAGAGAGACTGGGGAGTGACGAGGGGTTCTCTTTGGTACCACGGACAGCTCCAAGGATCTCCAGAAGCCTCCACATGGACTAGATCAATGGTTCTTGACCCTGGCTGCCTTAGAATCAGCAGAGGAGCTAATTTAACATATATACTCCCAGTCCTACCCAAATGTTCTGCATCAAAGTCCCTGGGGTTGGGGTTCAGGAGCTTGCATTCTAAATAAGCACCCCAGATAACTCAGGCACAGGCGGTAACACAACTATACTTCAACACTGAAATAAAGCCATGGTGGCCTCCAGAGAAAGAGATGAAAGCGCCCTCTGCTGGTAAAATGATGTTTTGAGCTCTTGAATTTATCGCTGGTGTATTTCAAGGCAGTTTATTTACGCAAGGAATCTCTGGGCCAAAACAAACACACACACACAAACAAACAAAACCCCAAGAGACTGGGTAGATGAGTAAGGAAGAGCGGCCACCTGTGTGCAGTTAGGATACTGTCTTCAGTCTGGGATGCTGTTAATCCTTCCCAACTGCATTCCCTAAGAACAAAAACAAAAACAAAAACAAAACCCCTCCAAAACAAAAACAAATGTGGCTCCCTAAGGTGAAAGAGGAGAACCCTCTCCTTGCATTGGCTTTAAAAATATATTGCAACCCAAAAGAAATGAAAGCAGGGACTCGAAAAGGTATTTATGCATCCATGTTCATAGCAGCATTATTCTCACTAGCTAACAGGTGGAAGCAACCCAAATGTCCATTGACAGATGAATGGCTAAAGACAATGTGGTAGATAAATGCAGCAAAAACATTAGTCCGTCTTAAAAAGAAATGACATTCTGAGATATGCTACAAAATGAGTGAACGGTGAAGGCATTAAGCTGAATGAAATAAGCGAGACACCCAGGCACAAATATTGTATGACTCCACTTCTACGTAATGAGGTCCCTAGAGTAGTCAAATTCACAGAGAAAAAAGTAGAATTATGGTTGCCAGGAGCTGGGGGGGGGGGAGAGAAAATGGGGAGTTATGGTTTAAATGAGTACAGACTTTCAGTTTGAAAAGGTGAAAAAGTTCCAGCAATGGATATTGGTGATGGTTTTTGCACTACAACGTGAATGCACTTAATGCCACAGAACTGCACACCTAAAAAAGGCTAAAACGGTAACGCTTATGTTATGTTTCTTTCACCACAACAAAAAGAAAAGTGACATAATAAGAAAAGCAGTGTTAATGCCTCCGCTTGACCGGGAATGAGTAGGGCTTCTCCATCCCATAGGGCGCCCTCCTAGAACAGGGAAAGGTGTCTCTCTTCTCAGTCTGGGGCTCACCCAGGACCAGCAAGGTGTTTCTTTAAGCGGACAGCTATTCCCCCAGGGCTTGGACTCGTCCTGTCCATCATCACACAGAGAAGATTCCCGATGGTGCAGTTCCCTCCAGTGGGTGAGGTTCTGCCTGCCCCTCCCGAGAGGAGTTATCCCAGCGATCGTGTACGGGTTGGGGGGGGTGGAGAGAAAAGCGGGCCCCTAGTTTGAGATTTTCGTCTGTCTTCCGCAGCTGCCAGGCTCAGGAGCCCCACAAGTGCCCAACACCTTCGCACGCTCCATCTCACCTTGCGCTTCTCCAAGTTCTGCACCCTCAGAAAGCTGCGTCCTCTCTCCCGGCGGGCTCTGGAGGCGTTCCGCCCTCTTCCAAGATGGCCGCCGCGGCCTCTGTGACAGGACTGGTCACGTGCGCGCCGTCGCCTATGAGGTCGCTGGGGCTGGAGCGGCGATTGTCCCTTCCCGGGCCCCGTCCCGAGGCGGCGACTGCCCTAGTCAACCGAAGCCTGAGCGATCATGGCAACGAGCTCGGGCGGGGAGCGCGTGGCAGCGGCTGCAGCGGCGGCAGGTTGGTCGCGGGCCGGAGCGGCGGAGCGGTGGCGGCGGCGGTGGCACTGGCGCTGGCACCGGCCCTGAGCGCCATGCAGCGGGGCAGCTCAGAGAGGGAGCTGGCGGCCCGGTGGGAGGCGGAGGCGGTGGCCATGACCAAAGCGCAGGCGGCGGCGGCGGCAGCAGAGCAGGTCCTCGTGGACTCGGGCGCGGCCGGGGAGCCGGAACGCAAGACGCCAGAGGAGCAGCCCAAGGACCCGGCCCCGGCGCAGCACCGCGCGGCCGAGGAGGGGGACGCCCGCGTCGTCCCGCGGCCGCCGCCCTCGCTGCCCCTGGCCAAGCCGCAGCCGGCTCGGGCGCGGGGCCTCTGCCCGCACGGGAAGCCCCGCAGCAAGGGCCGGGGCTGCAGACGGAGCTCGGGCCGCGGGACGGAGGAGCACCACTCCCAGCGGCCGGTCACCGTGGACAGCTCCAAGGCCAGGACCTCCCTGGACGCCTTGAAGATCAGCATCCGCCAGCTCAAGTGGAAGGAGGTGAGGCCTGGCCCGGCCGCGTGGGCACGGCGGGAGGGTGGACATTTCGACCTCGGAGGACCCGGCGCGGCCCAGGCCAGGGCTGAGGGCTGAGCTCCCGCCCAGCGCCAGGCTCCAAGTGCTCATCCTTCAAAGCCTAGCCCCAAAGTCACTTCCTCCAGAAGGCTTCCAGCCCGCTCCGGGTCAAGTTAGCCACTCCTTCCCGTGGCTCCCCTACAGCTCTGGTTTCTAGGTGTCAGCACTATTCTGCGTTGTAGATCTTAGCCTACTTCTGTGTCTGTCTCCTCCACCAGCTTTGAGTCCTCGGGGGCCCGGGACTGTCTTTCACTTCTTCATTTAGCACTTCATCTTTGTTCAGCACTTACTGTGTGGCAGTTGAACAGTTTGTACTTTGGAGACAGAGAGACTTAGGGTCTCACCACACCCTGCTACTTAGCTGTGTGACTTTGAGCAAGTCGCTTCACCTCTTAAGCCTAGTTCCTTCTCTGTAAAGTGAAGCTAATAACAACTGCCTCTTAGTTTCGTTAGTATTAGAAGACTCACTGCTTATTGTAGCGTAGCACAAGTGTGCAATAAATGGTAACTAATCTTACCACTGTCTCCACTCTCTTTCCCCATCACTGTCGCCACCACCGTCATCATCAGCGCAGGAACTGTATTTTATATTCTAGGGCCTGGCGTGTGGCTGTAGCATGTGACAAGTGGTGGCTGAAAGGGTGGATGAAGGAATGGATTATTCCTCCCCGAGCCCAGTTTAGACCTAGTGGGGGCTGGAATGAAGCACCGAAGACACCGAGGGGTGTCTGTTGCAGTTGCCTGAGTGGATAAAGCCATTCGACTTTATTTTCAGCTTCTAAGGCTTTTTAACAGGATTTCGGGAGTATTGGGATTGTGATTTAGGGTAGTCAAGCCTGGAGACTTAGACCCAAATGGTCTGCTGGTGGAACAGGAATCTGTAGCAGGTGACAGGAAGACTCAGGTGCTTAGCTCTGTGCTTTGGCTACGGCAGACATTCAGGAATGGTTTAATGAAGTTGGAGATGGCCACAGAAAGGACCGATGGGATCAGAGGGTTGATGGCCCAACAGGAAGGGGACATGTGGCCTGGAGGGAAGATAAGAATCAGGCGGGGCAGACGTCCAGGTAGGGGTTAGCCACTGGGGAAGTCTGACTCCAGGTGTCAGGGTTCCCAGGCTTGGGCTTGGGGTTCAGGGGAGGACTTCCATGCCTCGGAAACCTGGAGGGAGGCTCCCAGTTCTGGACCGAGTCCCAGGTCTGGGTCAGAGTTGTGAGGGCCAGAACAAGATAAAATCGGAGAACTTGTTAGTGCCATGGTCCTAATAAAGAGAGAATCCAGGGACTAAACCAGGCCTCAGAACCAGGCAAGGCCGACTGGGCCAAGGAGAGCCCGTGCTTCGCTTAGGCCTGTGGCAGAGAGAGACATGAAGCTGCCTAGATCCTGAGAGATGGAGCCAGAGGGACCCAGAAACCAGCAGGCATTTATGCCAGGTTCATGTACTCAGTCCATATGGATGCTGACCCTGGAAATCAAAGATGCTTAAGATGTACCCCTTGCCCTCAAGGACTTATAGTTCAGTAGGGGAAAAAAACACAAAAGAAATCACTGAAGTGCTTATAGGGTCTCTGCTGCTGCTTCCTGGAATGCTCTTTTCCCAGTTATTTGCATGTCTTGCTGTCACTTTTGATCTCTGAGCAAATGCTTCCTCCTCAGAGAAGCCTTCCCCCGTGATCCATTCCTCCACCAACCTTGCTCTTCTTTCTTTTATCAAATAGCACTAAACTCTACCTGACATTATGTTACATTTTCCCTCATTAGAATGTAAGCCCCGTGAGGGCAGGGGCTTTGTTTTATTTACTGCCGTATCCTCAGGTGCTTGGCACATAGAAGGTGTTCAATAAATATTTGTTGAATGGATGAATACACTGTGTGATGAGTGTTTCCCTGTCCCTGTGTACAGGTGTAGGTGCTCTGGGAGGAGAGAGATGGGAGCTGAGTTCTGAGTGCTGAAAAGGAGTAGGAGTTATTTAGGGCCATCAGCTTTGAGTCTCTACCAGAGGGCATAGTATGGGCACAGCAGAGGCACATGTGGGGCTTTGCATGTAGTTCAGTATGGCTGGAGATGAGTGGGCGGCAGGATGGCGGTGCGGTGAGGCTGGAGAAAGGAGCGGGGGTCAGACCATGGGCCTTGCTGTGGGATGTGCACTTGTGTTTTGGAAGGCTGTGTGAGCCGCTACAAGATTTTAACGTTCTTCCAGTTATCGACTATGGTAGTTTGACAAGTGAATGAAAACTCTTTAAGCCTCTTCGTTTGCCTGTCTATCAATGGGGGTGGTTTGGACCAGTTCAGTGGTTCCCAGGCTCTCTGACACAATGGTAATGTTAGTCTACATGTGGCCCTTGTGCTGGCAAACGCAGTGGACGGACAGGCAGTTTCCAGGCATTACCTGTAACTGCCCCCACCACCCCAACCTTGCCTTCTTCCTCTCACTCAGAAAGCATATTGGCATGTAAGTGGAGATACTCCTGGTATATTTTAAAACAAACTGTCACAACAATAGGATTTTCCTAGTAGATGTGTGATTACTGATACCACTCTTCCCATGAGTCTGTGAGGTGCTGAGGACAGGAGTGGTATTTGACCTGTGGTACATCATAGGTATTCAATAAAGATTTGCCAAATGAATGAATGAAATACTTGCCCCAGAGCTCACATTTCATCTTGACACCCTAGAATGTGGAGTTTGAAAAGTACGAGAGTAGGTAAACTTTCAGTCCCTTCCAGCTTTAAACTATGATCATAGTCTTGTTAGTACCTACTATGAAATTGACTGCATGAAAAAGTAACATATATAAAGCAGTCACTAACAAAGCGTAGACACAACCTCTCCGGGCCTCAGTTTCCACATATGTTTCAGGGATGATGTTGGACAAGATCATCTGTAATGCCCAGCACTGATGTTCGAGGACCAGGGCTGGGAGATAAGGCATTGATTGGTGTCCTTTGTATGTCATGCTGTGCTGTGGCCGCAAGATTTGAGAGTGCCCGGCTGGCCGGCTTTGGCAGGGGTGGGCGGGGAGCCCAGGGAAGAAATGAGGTGGTGAACACCAGCCAGGGTGAAAGCTCAGTGGTTCCTTTGAGAGTGCATAGTGAGGGGGCTCCACCAGACCGTCCATTTAGCAGGGCAGCCCTGAGCCAGCATATGAATTCGACATTTGCTTGGCTACAGGACACAGTCTTCCTTCTCCCTTCACTTTTTATTTTTATCACACATACATTTAACAACAAGGATATCAATGAACGTCAACAGCTATGATGAAGCCTTACATAACTCTCACCCTGTGCCAAGCACTCTTCCAAGGGCTTTATGTAGCTACAGTGATTTGATTTTCCCAACGACCCAATGAAGTGCCTCATTGTCTCCATCTTACAGAAGAGGAAACTGAAGTATATAGAGGTTAACTCATCCAAGGTCATATGGCTAGTAAGTGGCAAAGCTAGTACTTGAAACAGGGATTCCATTTGAAACCAGCCTTCGTTCTGGGCTCTTGCTGTTTCCTCCTGGGTCTCTGTCTGCAGACCTGGGGTTGGAGTTAGACATATGGACGTGAATGGGATTCCCTCCTTGCCCTCCAGCAGCTCCCGGCGTGAGGGACAGACAGGCACACAATGGCAGTCCAGTCTGGGAGTTGAATGGGCACTGGCCATTCCACACAGAATAGGAACAAGGCAGGGAGGGTGGGTCAGGTTTTGTCAGCAGAGTGGGATGATGGCAGCTTAGGGAGCATGTGGGAGAGTGGGGAGAGATGAAGGAGCCAGATCGCGGAGGGCGTTGGAGGCCAGGCCAGGAAACTTGAGCTTCTGCCTGAATCTGATTTCAGAATCTTGCCATATATAGACTCTGCTCCTCTTGCCCACTCTCTCAGCCCCAGGGGAACCACGCCAAGTCCCTGATGATTCTGTTTTCAGTTATATCCACTCTGGTCAGGTCTAATGCAACTGTGTCCGCAATGTTGAATTTGCCTCTCAAAGGAAAATTCACAAATGTTGGCTCTGTAATCTTATAGGTGAGGCTAAAGTTTATTTTCGAGTAGCAAAATTAGGTTTATGGAGTCACTATTGAAGTTGCCCACATGAAAGAGAGGGATGGTTCTTGGCTCCCAGTAGGTGCTCAATAAATATTTATGGAATCGTGTGGTCCTCTTTCAATCGTGTGAGCCTTTCTCCCCAGCCCCTGTGTATTCTTTTGTGGTTTTGACACCATCATTAAAGAAACCTTAGGGAAAAGACACCAAGGAGAATAGATGCCACTATTGTCATGAATTGCCCTCCCTGGAGATGTAGGTTGTGGATATGTGCACAGTGGTGCCATGGACACCAACTAGCTGGTGTGAGTGAGGGTACTCAGATTTGATGGAATGACCTTTGTTGATAATCCTCTGTCCCACAATCTATTACAGTGTGAGTTCTTTATTTCAGAGGCTCCAAATCATGTGCTGTTTTTGAAGTTTATCCAGCCTTTCTTTAGGATATATATACTTATGTTGTCCTGTTGATAGCATATAACATCAGTTACTGTTTATTAAATATCTGTTATGTGCTAGGCATTGTGCTACATGCTTTATGTTCATGAAATATTAGACACTTACTATGGATTATTTTATTTAATCTTCATGGCAACTCTCTGAAGTAGATCCTATTATCATTCCCAGATTACAGATGAGGAAGTTGAGGCTCAGGGAGAGGTTTGTATAGGGCTAGCCCAAGGCCACACAGGTAACAGTGGCAGAGCCATCCAGGGCCTGTGCTCGTAGCCGGTGTACAATCCTATACTGTCTTCTTAGCTAATCCTTTGCTAAAACACACGCCACCAGGAGTTACTCTATTATTAGTAGTCCCAGATAAGGATTGAAGAAATTGAGGTGAGCACAGTAAGTAAGAGGGAGAGTCAGGGTTCATACAGTAGTCTGTCTTGTTCCCC